TGCTTCATAAGTTGATAAATATTAGAGTATAAAAATGGCTAATTCTAAAATCTTATATAATCTTTTATATAAGAACTAGCATGTTCTTTCTCTTAAGCAAAATCAATCTACGTTTGCAAAATAAATAATATAATACATGTTGATTGTCGAGTATACGAAGAATATTTTTTCTATTTAATAATTATTTCAATAATGATTATTTTCTAATTAAAAATTATATATATATATACAATATTTCAAAAAGTATAAACTATTTTTCTTTATATATCTTTACAATCAACATATTATTAAATATAAAAGTAAATGAACTAACCTCTTTCCCTAGATGTAGTTGAATTGCTAGAAACAGGAGAAGAGCTCGACGACGACGCCAAGTTGCTATATGTTGAAGATGATTTTCGATTACTATAGCCACTATTTAATGATAAGTTGTAGCTACTGTTTGCTTGCAATAAAGCTGCCGAATTTTGTGGAGTACGAGAACGAGTTCTGGAAGCCACACAATCAATAGCCGTCAAGTTTAACTCTGGTAAACTACTCCTTGTATTACGGACTCTTGTATTACCACTAATACCACAATTAGACTGCTGCACCTTGTGTTGCAGTCTCCAATCTGTATCTAAATGAAAAGAATTTTAAAAATTACAAATAAAATAAAAAAACAACTTATACATATGACATATATTGAAAATTAATTAAAACATAGTTTGGACATAACTAAAAAAATCGCTATACTCAACGTAAGCTAATGTAACATATGTTTTTTTTTCCCCCAAGTTACCTAGGAATGGTCCTAAACCACTTCCATGATTTCTATGTTCACCCTTTATCTTCTCCTCCTCTTTAGAAGTATCTAGAGAATGTCTATGCGTAGATGCGTTGTCAAGTTCCTGAGTTTGTTGCGGATTGCCAATAGTTTGTCTACGTCTTTTCTCTTCTACCGGCACTGAGATACCACTACTACTTTGTCGCTTTCTATAACCGCTTGTACCACTGCCTGAGCTTTTCTCTCTAGTTTTAGAGGTCCCTGCTGAAGCACTGGCCTTCTCTACAGACCCCCCTGACAACAACTGATCTTGTTGATCTGCCATAGATTAATTGACTCATGCCACTATACTGCCTGTAACAAAAGGTAACAAATTATTATTATTATTATTATTATTATTATTATTATTATTATTATTATTATTATAAATGACTAATGTATTATTGTAAAACACTATAATGGAATTTTACGTATACATGAAACGTATGATTTGTATCTTTAAATTTGATTGAAAAAGTATATAAATATTCTAACCAAAACATGTGCATATATATCAACTTAATCTACAAATAATAAAATGGTTATTTTGGAGTAAGTTAGCCAATATATAATCTGAGGATCAATACATATCTTTGTTCTCAATTACTAACACTACAAATGGCGAAGAAATTTTCCTGATATATATCAATAAAGAACTTGAAAGTATTGAATTTTTTTTAACAAAGCAGTAACATTTCACACAACTATCTAATCAAACGATATTATTCAATCTTAATCACATTATATAGAAAATAAAAAAAGAAAAGAAAAAGGATAAAAAAAATCATAATAACATCTTGAGACAAGGAGATACAAAGGAGAACGAAAAGGAATACTACTTAAACGTATACGTTTCTTTTATAATTTATCCCATAAGGCTTGTTTGCTAACTACTTAATTTTTTTTTTAAATAAGAGAGGAGGGTAATGGAAGGGAAAGGGTAAAAATAGAGCTTTAATAATTACAAATTCGTTCTTCGTTTGGAGCGTGTTCTACGAGAGATAGAGAGAGAGAGAAAGAGAAAGAGAAAGAAAAAGAAGAAGAAAACAAAAAGAAAAAGAAAAAATAAGAGAGGACTGGGGTGGGGGTAGGAGGGGGGAACTGTGAAGACTTAAAAATATATATATATATATGTAGTATATAATATATACAAACCGTGTTAAATCGGTGCGCAGGGTGATAAGAAGAAGACCGTGACTACTGAATAACACGCAATTAATGTATTTCCTACGCAGCGAAAGAGATAGTAATATGGTAAAGGCAGAAGAATCATAACAAACACTGTAACTGAAGTCCATCCGCGATAAGGGTAACAATGCAAAATTGTGCCATTGACATCATCTGTATGGGGGCTCGGTGAAAGGCTTGAGATGAATAGTCCTAATAACAACAACGGTCGCGAGATAAATGAGTATGACGAAAATGATCGAAGACAGATAGAAAGGAATTTAACAAAGAGACTCATATAAGCAGCACGATCCACCATTTGCTTGCAAGCAAGTAATGGAGGACGAGTTCTTTTTCCAACACTACCTCCTCCCCCCCGTTCCCCGATCAAACCCACTCCACCCCGCTAACCCTCTCCACTCCCACCCCACCTATCTTTCTCTCTCTTTCTTGGAGCCTGATGTATGTATGTGTGCGTGCGTGTGTATACGTGCTGTATGACCTCAGGTACACCAAAAAAGAAAATCTCTCGCGCATGAGGGCAGAAACGACCGGTCCCTTCCCCCCTGTCCCCTTTCCCAGCCCCTTCAGAGGGGATGAGACTATTGTCGTCGTGCGTATTACCTGAATGTCGGTAAAACATGCCCAGGGCATTACGAGGTAATGTTAATTCTCTTCTCTCTGACTGGGAAAAGCTTTCACGATAGCAGTCAGTCTATGTCCTTCCTCAGAATACATACATACGTCTATCCACTGTCAGGGAACAGGACGACTCTCTTACGCGCACGCAAACCTAACTGACTAAAGTATATGTTTGTGAGCAGTTCTCTCAACCAATGTGTGTTTCCACCCCTCTTTCTCCACCACTTCTCCTCATCGTCTTTTACTACCACCCAACCTCCTTCACTCCCACCCCCTCCCTCCACCTCTTACGCACACAATAAGCTAGCTACACATCGAAATACACGCCAAACGCGCACCACCGAGGTAAACTGAAAGCACGATTCTGTACGAAGAATGCGACGAGGCTCGTCGTTACCAGCAGCGGGGTTGGTTGGAATTGGAAGCACTGAGATTACTCTGCCACCAATTCCCCCACCGCCAATCAAAATGATAACGTCACATGCGCAGTAGCGACAATCTGCGATGTGCATCAAAATTAATTCCTTGCGCGCGATTATTTGAATCTGCTTCGAGATATCTAATTGATTTATTTTTCGAGAATTTCTCCGGATTATTTTCATTCTCGATACCCGATTGCAAATGATTTTTTGTTTATACTTCTACAAATTGATATTTATAATAATGTAGGATTTGTTAATGGTCGAGATTGTTTAGAAATATATGAATCACTGTGAGAAGATAAAACGAAAAGAAAAAGATAGTTGATAATTTGATTACTTCTATTCAACGAATATATTCAAAGTTAAGAAAAATGATGCAATAGAAATATAGGAATGTTATCAGGATATTATCGCCATTTGTAAATCGACGGTAATTGAATATAAATAACAGTTTGTATGTGTATAGAAAATTCGTTTAATGACATTTACTTATACTTTATGTAAATACACAAAAATGAAAAATATATTTAATAAATAACCTTTTTTTTAATCGTGAATGTATCAACAAAAACCTTATCTTTTTAAAAATAAATTTCATGTATTTGTACAACATGATGAATAAATTTACAGACCGTGGAACGACATCTCTACATTTCCATTAGAAATACGTATTGTATATTATCGCAGTTTAGTTTCCATGCATATTGTAAATGAACTTGAATGAACACGTCACAAAAATATCATCACTTTTCTCTCTATATCTTTGGATATATATATATTATATAAAATAAAATAAAATAAAAATAAAAATTCGTACACGAAACTCTCGATAGTACGCGATGCAATATCGCGTAATAAAAGAGATAAAAAGAAAAAAAAAAGAAAGAAAACTAATATCACGCGTTTAATTGAAATGAAATATGAAGTCACACATCGATTGCAAGGAAAGCGAAGGAGACGTATAATATTGATATTCAGCTGGCTAGCTCAGGTTACGTTCAAAGCGGAATCAGTATCGTTTCGGATATTTGCATGTCGAGTTTTACCTTTTTTCATTCGTAGAATGCTTGCCTGATAGTCATTTAATATGATATTATAATTATTCGCGTTAAAAATATTGCCAAATATAGATTAAATCGACGAATTTAATCGCGAAAGTTAAAAACGTTCGTTAAAAAGCACGCAACTTGACAACGATGATATGTTGTAATAGGATGTCGGATGCTGGTTCTATTGTTTGACCTCGGGTTGAACGGAGTAACCACGATTGGCTGAAAACTTCATTTGGTAGTACCCAATTGGTTGCTTATAAACTGAACAGTTTTCTCAAGTTGTTGTATCATAACAACTTGAGATTAATCAGCTGTGTACCGTAAATCATACGATTAATTCAACTTTTATTATTAATTACCGACACATGACACATTATTGTATATATATATATATATATATATATATATATATATATATATTTATATANTATATATTTCTTTTTTTATTTTTTTTTATGTTTCTCTCTTTCTCTTTTTTTTGATAGCATATTAGTTTTTTTTTTCGTTTCTTTTTTTTGACAGCTTGCATTTACTCACCGAAAAAGGGAGCTCCTCCCTGGAAGTCGGACTCCAGTTACGCAATGCGATGCGCAAAGGGACACGTGAAGATACACAGTGAGCTGTCAAGTCGATTCGAGTGTCGTCTGCTAAAATATTTTAATCATAGATTATATTAGATACAAGATGTTCCATCGACTAAGAGAAATAAACATGCGGGCTAATTTTCATGGGTTAGTTTAAAACAACCAATCAGCGTCGAGAACGTAGGATTTACATATAATACGAAATTTAAATATATTAATTTATATTATTACTTATGTATATCTATATATATGTATATATTATAGACGTATATTCGTCTTTTTTTACTAATAATATAATATATTACTTTTTCACAGATAAAATAACGAATATATTTGGGTATTAAATAATAATAGTCAAAAGTTTTGGTGACATCACATTGGCAATACTTTCGACACTCTGCTACTAAAAAAATGAACAGTCTGTAAATATTGAACATTAATCTTTTAGACTAACCTTTGTTTTACAATCGTTAGTCAAAAATGTCAGCTGTAATTTTAAAGAATTTCTTTCAGACAAGTAAGATTTAAATTAACAAATCAATATCATTAACACATACTGATCTATTTTTCATACCATAAATTATATTCAAGTATAATTATGTAATAGTAATCATTTCTCTATTTATTTTATATTTTAGGATTGCAAACAATACATTTTGCTAGTATCATTGTTCAAGGGAATAATTATTCCAATCAGCCACGTATTATTAAAAATCCGACTACAGCTTCTTTAAAAAGAGGTACTGGAGGACGTTCCTCCTTCAATGGAATAGTATGTACAATTTTCGGTAATAATGGTTTCATTGGACGGAATGTGTGTAATCAACTTGGGAAGATTGGAACACAGGCATGTCATACTTATGTGTACAGCGTGTATCAAAATAAGTAAGAGATATAGTCGTAGTCTAACTGGATCATAATTTCCATTATTAAAGCAACAGTTATTATTATGTAGCAACATTTTCTATATTGTAATAAGAATATGATTTTTAATGTTTATCCGTTTAAATAATATACTTATTTTTTGTATTTTTTTAGTTGATTCTTCCACATCGCTCAGATTTTTATCACGTTCGGCATCTTAAACTTTGCGGTGATCTTGGACAAGTGCTTTTCCATGAATTCGATCTACGGGATGAAGAGGCAATCTATAAATGCGTGAAACATTCTAACGTAGTTATTAATTTAATAGGTAAAGATTGGGAAACTAAGAATTTCTCTTTCGAGGATGTACACGTTACAGGAGCCAGACGACTTGCTAGGATTTCCAAAGAGGCCGGTGTGGAACGTTTTATTCATGTTTCTTCTTTAAATGTATCTCCTAACCCTACGGTAATTAATTGCACGAATTAATTAATATGATAAATTTAAAATCAATTGACAAGGGGAGAACTAAGTTGACAGGACACCAATTTCTTTTTAATTTTACACAATTGTAGAGTCTCCCCTTGTGAGATTTTTTTTAACTTTATGCTAATAAATCAATTATTTTGCATTTGTATAAGCCATTGATATTGAAAGAGGGTTCACAATTTTTAAAATCAAAATGGCAAGGTGAATGTGCTGTTAAAGAAGAATTTCCTGAAGCAACGATAATTCGTCCATCAATTATCTATGGAATGCAAGACAAATTTTTGTCTTTTTACAGTGAGGGTTGGAATCAACAATCTTTGTACGTGTATAATAATGTATCTATGTTCATGCAAATGCATTTACGTTTTTGAATATTTTTATCATTTTTTCTATTCATACATTTTATATTATGATAGTGTACCAGTACTTTGGAAAAAAGGTGAACAAACAGAGAAGCAACCAATTCATATATCCGAGGTAGTTAATGGTATATCTGCTATCGTACAAGATCTTAGTACTGTTGGAAAAACCTACCAATTTGTTGGGTACGTATCTGGAAATAGTTTAATACGAGAATAAAATGTTAATTATTTTTGTTTAATTATGGTATATAAATAATTTTGTTTTAGACCAAAAAGATACAAATTAAGAAGTTTAGTCGAATGGATTCAAAGATCTATAATGGATTCTAAGAAGAAAGAGTATAATCAAGTAATAGATCTAGATAAAGCTATATTCTTTAAATTGAAAGTATCTTTATGCGATGCTTTAGGAATTACAAATCGTTATAACAATTTACATTGGGAGGGTATAGAAAAAGTATGTATTACTTTTATCATTTATATAAAGTACACTGTTTCATTTATTATTGCATATTGCGATAATGAATTAGAATAAAATTTCAATAATTATATGGACTTTATTATCTGTTATTTTTAGGATAGCACAACCGATGTTGTTTTGAAAGATCTACCTACGATAGAGGACCTTGATATTAAACTTTCTCCCATCGAAGAACAAGGTTCGTGGGATTTGAAATTATATGACAGACGTAATTATTTTGATGAATCCCTTCGTGAGCGTACAGCAGTACGACCGCCAGAAGCTATATCAATTTAATTGACATCAATATTTGAAATAATATTATAGTCGTGATATGAAATATGAAGATGTGATGAACAAATTACAAATTCGTTATCTAAATAAATTTCTGTACCTCCCATTCCAATAAATGTACATTTCTCACAATATATACGACAATAAAAAAAAAAAAGAAAAAGAACTTACCTTTAAAAATCAAGCACAAGAGTAGCGACACAATTAGTTTTAAAACTCTATCACTACTTGCGTAATAGGTCAGAAATAACACGTTCTAATGTTAAACGGTTTTCTTTAAGTAGTTACATAAAACATATTTGTAATATTAAATCACAAGATATACAATATTTTCCTAAAATTTTGCCCAAGTTTAATGATATCCTTGTAAAGGAAATTAAAGCATATAAGATATGTTTTGTAACTTTCTAATAATATTTCTATAGAAAATTTGTCGAATGATATCAATTTTGGCACGTGTAAGCACCTTTTTACTTATCCGTTTCTGAATAATTAATAGAGAAAAATTTGATGAAGTGTTATTTGGATTTTAGAATATTTCTATATACGATAGATTGATTGTTGTCTATATAAAATATATCTATAAACAAAAATGTTATAAAACTATTTATAAAACTTCTCTTTACAAGCATTTTGATCACACCATTCAAAACTACCTGCGTATAGGATTAAAAGTTTGTATAAGCCTACGCAATTTACCAACTGTTCGTTTTCTTCTAGAGTGTCTTCTGAATATCACCCAGTTGCAGCGATTAAGAAAACATAAAAGTAATGTAACTATCATAATAATTATTACTACATAATACCATTCGTTCCAAATTGCTTGAAAGTCTTGTTCGTTCTGTTTTTTATGAACAACTCCGTTTAAATCATTATTATATAACAAAGGAACATTATTAGCTCCAATATGTCGTTTAAACCACAACGAATCTTCTGGTGGAATTGGATTTGCGGCTATTATTCCGCTATCCACGGAGAGTAATTTTTGTGATTTGTATAAATTTCTGTAAATATTATTGTAATTAGTTTACTTATCAAAGAATTATTAATATTTATTTATATACGAATATGCTTACGATCATTCGTAAGCAAGTATTAACGAATGAAAAAATATTATGCTTACGTTGGTGCAGATTCGTTAACTGGTTTTGGTACAGCTAATATTACAGTGGGACACAATGGTAGTGGTCGATAACGACCAGCTCCAGTTCTTTCGGATGCTATTACCTTACTATGACGTTTGAAATTGCTATTTTCTATTCGTTGAGGTAATACGCTATGCTCGAAATGATCCAATTCATTTAGATTTTTATTCGGAGGCGAATTTTCATTGATAAATATAGTTGCTATTCGACCTGTAGTAGTATACTCTAAGATGGCATCGAGCATCCAGAAACAAGCTAGAAAAATATCATATTTTTCTTCGCAATACTTAACATACATATACATAAAATTATTTGATTTAATTTAAAATATATACGTTTTTGCAAATGACTGTCGTCGATGCAATTTGAATCTCCGTATACTACAAGTCTTCCAGGCATATCGTTTACATGTTCTTTCTCATGATTGTCTTCCGGAAAATCTTCTTCCGAATCTTTTATATCGTTATTTTTAATAATGCTATCATTTTCTTTAATGCTTTCATAATGTTTGGTTTGTAATAATCCAAGTATTGGTACAAGTTTGGACGTTCTCGTTTCTGTTTCTAGAATAAATTCTTCACCTTGGTCGCGTAACTTTGCATAAAGTAGAACACCATCTTTTGGAAATCTTGTTTGTTTCATGTAAAAATATATTATCTCAATTTTCCTGTAGAATTTATTGGAATAAATTAATGGATTTTATTGTTTACCGAGTAATAGTCGATCCAGAAGCAAAAGATATTGGTGAATGTTGACCAAGAGTAAACTGACCCTCTTGTACGTGATCGCTAAATGCTATTCCCCAATTAGGATATAAAAGATCATTTAAAGCTGGAATATTTGCACCTCCGGTATCAGGAACCCACCATTGGCGAGTGTTTTCATCATAAAATTTGACTTTTCTCATAACAGTAACGTTATACCAATCTGCAAAAATAATTACAGAAAGTCCATCCTCTTCGACATCTCGTTTTAATTTTGCTATCTATAAAAAAGATTATACACTTCATTTTAATAATTGTTAAATAAAAATAAAATAAAATAAAATAAAGAACAATGTGTAACCTCTTCCGGGAAGAATTCTTCTTCCGCATCAACTATTAATAACGTTCCATAATTTTTAGCATTGAAACAAGTAAATGGATGACCAAGTACTTCAAGATAATACCCAGCATTACGTAAGTGTTGATACATATGTTTAAAATTTGTATGAATGTGATCACCATTCCAATCTAAGGGATCATTTTTGACACTTAAATCATCCCTTGGAAAAAATCCTGGAGGATAACGTAAGTTATGGTATTGATCCCAAAGAATACGTTTACTGTTAAATAATAATCATTATAATTATACATTTAATATCAACAATAAATGTATATAAGTTGTATGCACATAACATTTATTATTTATACTTACTGTCGAGGTGGAATCGGTATAACTTTGGCTTTTAATGGTAGTTCAATCGTTGATTGGCGTGGTTCCTCTTCTCCATTACATGGTGGTGATGTTATAGTTATAGATATATGACCTATACGTTTGAATATATTATTAAAATGATTTTTTTTCCAATATAATAGCTATTAAATAATTTCTATTACCTTGAGCTATACCCTGCCAATCACGAGAACTTGATGGAACAGTTATAGAAACGGCTAACCAGCCAGACCATGGCCATAAAACATCACTGTGCGTTAATGATATATCAATTCGTTCACCATTACCATTACCAGTATACGGATGCCAAGTCAGATCAGTAATATGACCCGAAACACCCAATCCATTAATTATAGTTATATTTACGATGGTTGGTATACCGGTGTGATAAACGGCTTGAGTACAATATGGCCACATATACTGACACTCAGTTAGATCTATATAACTGAATTTATATTATCTATTAAACATAGATAATCTCAGTGTTTTAGTCTTTTCTATTTATTTCTTACTAATAAAATATTCGCTACCTTGGACTGAGAGTACACATAGGCGTATATAATTTTAAAAAGTGATACGCTCTCAACAAATCTAATTTTCCTGCTCCTTGTTCAAACATACCAATACCTGATAAACGTCGTGCCGAACTGAGCAATGCTTGTTTCATACTAGCCGGTGTTATCTATATATATAATATAAAAATAATTAATTTCTGTTAAAATAAATATATATATAAAAAATTGATATACTTTTTAGAATAATAATTACCTTTCTATTAATATTTAGTGAACCGTTTGGTTCAACAAAACCACTTGCCAAAAGTGCTACAGCACCAGCTACAACAGGACTAGCTACAGAAGTACCGGAAAGTGTTTTGCAACCGTTCGGCAATGCCAAACCTCTAACTCCTGATCCATATGTAACTAAATCTGGTTTGACTCTTCCATAACCAGATGGTAATTCCCATGTTGTCATACCTCTCGACGAAAATCTGGCTATTTGATCCTCCCAATTGATTCCTCCTACACCAATGACATCCATTTGATCGGCAGGATTATTTAATGTTCTATATATAGAAAATATGAGAAATTTATATTATAGATAAAACAAATGTACATCTTTTTATCGATCAATTATATAAATAATAATAATAATTAAGGTCTACCCATAAAGAGGACCATCATTCCCAATCGCAGACACCATGATTACACCATTTGCTGTAAGTTCCCAAACTTTATCAACAAATGGATGATCCATAAAATCTGGACCACCAATACTAAGATTTAGTACAGTTACTTTAGTTAGTATGGCATAATTGAACGCATCAAGAAACCATGATGTGTATGACACCTATAATAGAGAAATATAAAATAGTGTCGTTTAACAGATATTATAAATTTGATATATACACGATTAAGAATATTAGACATACTTGAGTTTTAGTGAAGACACGAAAAATATGCAATTCGGCATCCGGTGCAAATCCAAGACATTCTTTGGAAGATGAAGCTATAACACCAGCAACAAATGTTCCATGACCAACACCATCGTCATAAGTTTTTTCATTAGTCCAATTGGAACGTTCTTTAACTTTTTTAAAATGTGGATGATTGGCAGCTAATCCTGTATCAAATATTGCTACCTGTAAATGTATAATATATTTAAAAGTTTTATTTTAAATGACATTCATTGTATCCATTTTCATAATTATTTTTATAATTACCTTAATACCATGACCAGTTAAACCCAAGCTCCATAAAGCATCCGCTTGTAGAATAGTTGTGATTTGCCTTGGAATAGCACGTAATAATCTGCGAGATGCATGTCGATTTATCGGTTGCCAGAAGTGATTACCCTGAAACAAAATATATATTTCTGTAATATAAGTTTTATGAATGAATCTTATAGACAATAATATTTTTAAAAACATACGTAGGTAGTGATTTTCCTTTTGAATCCTTTATACTCAGGCAATTCTCCTTCTTCTGTGATATTAATATATTTTAAACTTCTACGTACTAATCGTTGAGGTGTTACTCTTTTAATAAGCGGATGATCCATCAAGGCATTGAGACCATGAAAATTATCGGTTTCTTCTAAAAGTACTACATCAAAGTCGCTAGGAAAATTACTAGCCAAATTATTTCTAGTAAGTAATTTCCAATTATTAACACCTGATGAATTCAATGCAGCGTGTATATAATTTTTACGAGCGTTAGGCTTGTAATAACCTTTGAACGCTACGATATATTCATTTTTAACAATTCTAGATGAAAATTGAATTTTAACTTCGTGCATATTATTATACATATCACATGATGATATCGTCGAGGTATCATGCAACTGGGACTCGTGTGCCGGGTTATGACGATTCTGTTCTTCTTCTGGCGTACAGTTTAACTGGTTATTACATGATTTTTTTCCAAAGCTAAGTAGTAATACCAAAGTAATATACGTCCAAGATATATGCGACTTCATACTATTGGCACAAACTGAAAAACGATATATATTATTACGTAAAGAAATTATTCATAATATAATGAAAAAGTGAACATAGGCTTTTAACATAAACCATTTGTTCTATCTCTTTCATTAACTTCTTTATCTAACATTATTGTATAGGCATTCATGATGAGTCATTGATTTATTATGCAGTATATTTGTTCTGTACACAAAAGCAAATGTATGTCAATAAAGCTTAGACTATTACTATGTTTAATTTTCTTTTGAAGATAACGATCAAAAATAAATATTAACTTACGGTAACAATATATTTATTCTTCACGTCATAACCTCAAGTTTTATTTGTCATATAAATTGACATTATGAAATATTACAGGTGTACATTTATTAATTATTTATATTAAAGGTTAATCATCGTTATTTTCAATAGTAGAGACATTTTGAAGTATGCACACAATGAAATCATATATATCACGATATCCATGCTTCGGTGTTTACAAATCTCATCGCATTTAAAGACGGAGGTTGTATCGAACTTTGTATCGAAATAAGGTTAAATAATATTTCAGTGCTGACACCACGCGATAATAAAAAAAAATAAAGTACTAGATTACAAAAAGTTACTAGAACTTTGTAATCTAGTTATCAATGTTTTTTCTATGTTGGTATCCAATAATTAAAAATGTCGCATTGCTTTTGAGAAGTATTTACATTTTTTTTTGTAGTTCTGTTATTAAAAAATAAATGTTGCAGTAATAAGAAAGCCTGGTAGACGATTCATTTGTAAGTATTTCATTTTAAAATATTTCATTTTTAATTATTCCTTTTTTTTAAACATTTATATGTACAAATATGTGCACGTGTGTGTATAATGTTTATTTAAAAGATCATTTTATCTATCACACAAATTTGATTTGATAAAATGTAATGATAATAATAATTGCGTGGGTGTTTAATAATAAATATAAATTTAAATAATGTAAATTAATCTTAATTATCAATTAAGATTAACATTTTAATATCTTAATTATAAAACATAAAAATGAACATTTGTAACTTCAAGTATTAAATAAAAAGTAACTTTGTTACTGCATTGTGTTATTAGTGCAAAATGGAGGAATTAACAGTAGATAATAATGAAACAGACATGGATGTTGAAACAAATTCAGAAGTTAAATCAAATGAACAGAAAGGAAACATAATGATACTTGAACACGATAAAAGTGCTATGCCAATAATCATAGAAGAATTGGATGAAAATGCTATCGATTCCATGAACATGGATATGACTGAGTTCAAGGAAGCTAAAGCTTTAGAAGTACACGATGTATCTGAAACAATAATTTCATCGTACATGTGTTCTCAAGAAGGTAGTCCGGTTAACGATATTCTAATGGAGGTAGATGACCAAAGTATGATATTAATCGAAGAAGAAAGATTGACTAAACAATTTGTTAATGGGGAAGTAACGTTCAGCGAGTATTCATCTAAGATAATTGAAACTCCAGATCCAGAAATCTCAGATATGGATATCAATGAGTATGTACTACGAGAAATATCAAATTTGTATCTAATGAATTTTACTAATAGATAATATCATTTTTAGAAGAGATTCAGAAAAGGAACAAGAAGTTTCGCATCAAGTTGTTAATAAAAAAGAAAAACACAAGACAACAATGTTACAATCCTCGGGACCAAGAAAAAGACGGAGAATGTTTCCTCCAATTTTGCAAGGTCTCATGGGTGAAGCTAATATACGTTTCGCCAGAGGAGAAATAGATATAGCTGAGAAATTATGTATGGAAATAATTAGGCAAGTTTTTATTTTCATATCCAAGTTTTTAGAAGATTTGAAGTAAATAATATCGAAGTATCGTTGATTAATTCATTATTACTACTTCTATAGGCAGGCACCGAGTGCTCCTGAACCATTTCAAACGTTAGCAATGATATATGAAAATGATCAGCCTGAAAGATCGTTACAATACGCATTAATAGCTGCACATCTTAGTCCAAAGGATGCAGATCAATGGACTAGATTGGCTAATTTATCATTGGAGAGTGGGAATATTAATCAAGCGATAATGTGTTATTCCAAAGCCATTCAAGCTAATCCGAAGGATGTACATTTGTACGAATCGTTGATAGAACTTGAAGAACAAAATGGAGATAAAAAAGCTCATATAAAAGCTTATACTAGATTATTACATCATTTGGATTCGGACCAAGGCCAAGATATATTGAAATATGCTAAAATATTAGCCAAACGACATATGCAAGATAATAATAACGAACAAGCGTTCCAAGCTATGGAATGTATTTTTGTTAAATGTCCTGAATTGATAACATTAGAAGAAGTTAATATTATGACAGAATTGTTAATTAGTTTAAAACATTTTAATAGATGTTTAGATACTCTAATTAAGTATACCAGTATTTGGGTTAGATTTAAAGATACTTCGGATAAAAATGATTCTGAATCTCCTAATGTACGTGTAATAGAGACCTGTGATATGCCGGACGATGTTGTAGTAGATTTAAAAGCCAAATTTCTTATAACTCTTATTGAACTTAATGAAATAATTATGGCGGATAAACTTTTACCTAAATTGTTAACAGAAGATCCGGAAATATCTGGAGATTTATTTCTAGATGTAGCCGAATCTTTTATGGGTAAAAATGAATTTCAACGAGCTCTTATTTTATTAGATCCGTTAGTCAAAAGCACTCATTTTAGTTTAGCAGCTGTTTGGTTGAGGCACGCGGAATGTTGGGTTGGTTGTAAAGATCTAAAAAAGGCAATTAAATCTTACGAGGTAGTTAAACAATTATCTCCACAACATTTAGGTGCTAGATTAGCATTAGCTAAACTTTATAAGTTTAAAGGACAATATTCTAAGGCTGCAGAAGTTCTTAAACAAGATCCAGAAATGGACACATTGGATCCTAATGTTATTTACATGAGGACACTACTACTCTTCAAAACTCAAAAATATGACGAATATTTTAAATCAGGAATGTTATTACTTTCAAGACATTGTATTAATATTAGATCCAAAGCCGAACTTGGTGCGTTATCAAGAGCGACCGGAGTACGTCAACGTCTTGAATCATTACAATTGCATAGATTATCTTGTGGCGAAAAACTTATAGAGGAAGATCAGCCAACGTTTATTAATAGCGAAGAACCAAGTGAAAGGAATGAATTCCTTTTATTTATTCAAATGTGCAAATTAGCTTACACATCTAAAAGATTCGGATTACTTCAAAGAATGTGTTTTAGTGCATTGACGTCAAAAAGATTTGAGAAGAGAAATTCTCATATTATATTCTTGTGTTTGGTATCCTGCATTCACAATAACGATTCCTTTTATGGATACAATATTGTGCGCGAAATAGTCAAAGTTTGTCAACGTTCAAATTCCATCAATTTGCTTAATATAGTTATTCAAAGGGCCGAAGATTCTAGACACAATAGATTCATAATGCGTTTACTTGGACGAGAAGAGGCGTTCTCTCATTTGCATATAATGCATGCGAATAATTGCCTCGTCTCAGGAACGTACACTTATGCTCTCAACGATTATATATCACTCTTCAGAGTAACGCCAAATGCATTATTGGCTTTACTAATTTCTGTAACTTTATTACAAATGGCGTGCCAAAAGAATTCTATAAAAAAGAATCAGTTAGTAATTCAAGGTAATTAATACATTCATCTTAATATATTTATCAAGGTTTCAATATGAAATATTATTATTACAAATGATTGGATATAAATAATTTATTGTTGAATTGTAGCTATCGCATTCATAAAGAAATACGCTCAACTACGAGGAGAGGATGGTAGACATGAAGCGTATTATAATAAAGCACGTGTATTTCATCAAATTGGAATGTTTCCATCAGCCATACATTATTATAAATTAGTTCTTCATACAGATCCAGGAGAATTAGTTAAACAAAATGAAGAACTTTTAGATTTGAAGAAAGAAGCAGCCTTTAATCTTCATCTTATATATCTACAATCTGAGAATTTTCATCTTGCTAGAATGTATCTTGAAAATTACATTACTATATAAAAAAAAAAGTAGTGTATATATATATACACACACACACACAAGTTCCTACGTTTATTTTTATACCAAAAGTATTTGTATATAAAAATTTGTGTACATAAAGTATTATCTATAAAAATAAAGTATTTATAAATTAACTTGTTTGTAATTTCTGAGAAACTCCCGTTTGATGAAAAATTTTTATAAATTTTTAACTTTGTAATTTTATATCTTAAAGATTTATTTAAAGATGAGCGTATCGTTATCATCAAGAATTAAATTTAAACAATTGTGTGAAGTCTTGGAAAGAATTATTAAAGCTTGTGCCTCCGAAAAGCTTAAAATTCTACAAGAATTTATTCAACAATATCAGAAGGATGGTGCTAAATTGAAAGAAGAAAATCCAAATGCGGTGAGTTATAAAGAAAGAAAACTAATAAATATTATTAAACATTAATAATTCTTTTCTATTTTGTTTATTAGAATATTTCAATATTTCCCGTATTAAGATTGCTCTTACCAGAATGCGACCGTGAACGTAAATCATATAATTTGAAGCAGAAATTATTGGTGAATATTTACATTCGTGTACTTTGTCTAGGAAAGTCGAGTAAAGATGCTAAGAAATTGATAAATTACAGGTATTCATATTTTTTTATATATTATTATATATATTGCAATAATATTAATATATTTCTATTATAGAATACCTACTTCAAATAAATCTAACGGAAGTGATCTAGCTGAAATAGTTTATTCGATTGTGCGAAAACAATTGTCACCCCAAAAGGAATCATTTACAATAGATAGAATAAATACATTTTTAGATGATATATCAAAAGCGAGCGAAGAAAATAAAAATAAAGATGAATTATTCAAAGAATTGTTTAGACAGATAAGCGCGTTAGAATTAAAATGGTTGACTCGTATTATTTTAAAAAATTTAAAGTTGGGCATTGGAACACAAAAAGTGTTGCAAGGTTTGTTTAAGAAAAAGATATTGGAAATAATATATTATATATCAAGGCTGTTAAAACTAATATTATTGAAATTAATAATTCTTTTTTTTTTTATAGTTTATCATCCGGAAGCATATGAATATTTTTGTACAACTTCTGAACTACGAAAAATTTGTGATAATCTCGATCGAAATAAAAAGAGAATTAATTTTGATATTGAAGTTTTCTCTTTTTTCAAACCCATGTTGTTGGAAAGATTTGCCATTAAGGATGCAGAAAAACTTTTTTACAATAAAGATGAGTACTTCGTACAAACGAAATTTGATGGAGAACGTTCTCAAATACATATGAAAGATGGTATATTTAAATATTTAACGAGACAGGGATTTGATATCACAAGTAACTGGGGATATGGAAAAAGTAATTCAGGTAAATGCAGTAACCATATATAGTATATATATATATATATATATATATTTATATATATATATCTAATTCTTATTAAAGTAATTTTTTGTAGATGGTTTTCTAACTAGTATACTTTCACGTCGTTTAAATCAACAATGCAAATCTATCATTTTGGATGGCGAAATGATGGGCTGGCATAAACAAAAGAAAATGTTTGGATCGAAAGGTATGAGCTATGACGTTAAAAAGCTTACAGCTAAAAGTTCTTTTCAACCCTGCTTTGTGGCCTATGATATTATTCTTTACAATGACAATCTACTTATTAATCGACCTTATAAAGAAAGATTGAATATATTAAAAGATGCATTTCAAGATGAAGAAGGTTCATTAATTAAATGCCAAAATACGATCATTTCTAACAGGTAATTATATAAAGATTACATTTAACATTGTTATAAATATTAATAATTATTTGTTTTATATATAGCAAAGATCTATTGGATATTTTTAATAAAAGTCTTGTCAATAAGGAAGAAGGAATTGTTATCAAAAAATCTGATTCCGTTTACAAACCAAATATTCGCAATGGAACTGGTTGTTACAAATTAAAAGCCGAGGTATAAATATATAAATATACATGTTTTTTTTCAATGAGTATTAACGTAATATTATTATTAAATTAGTATTCAGAAAATCTAATACAAGATATTGATTTGATTATACTTGGAGGCTATTATGGCGAAGGTGGTTTGATAAAAAGTTTTATGATGGGTGTTGCCGAAGTATCTGAAAAAGAAGGGGAAGAACCTAAACAATTTTTTTCTGTCGTGTCAGTGAGCAATGGTATCACAATGAAAGAATTGAAAGAATTTCATAAGAAATTCGAAAAGCATTGGATTAAAGACCGTCCTAATTGTATAATTGGTCCTAGGGTATTTAAAATGTTCATATATAATTTATTATAATTTTATATTATTACTTGTATAAACATCTGTGATTTATATTTTTAGATAGAGCCCCCAGATTTATGGATTCGACCTGAGCACTCGTTGATTTTAACACTTAGAGCAACAGAAATAACAAAAAGTGATGATTATTCAATCGGTTATACTTTACGTTTTCCTCGTATCGTAAAAATTAGAGAAGATAAGCCTTGGTACAGCGCTTGCACGATCACAGAATTTTTATCGTTGATAAAGGTATAAAACAATATACTCGCACAAAGAAATTTCATGGGTCCTAAATTATTATTCAACTTATCTCGTTTTTCTACTTTTCTTTATCTTCTTATATCTTTTGTTTATTTGTTTTTAGAATGCAGGAGTAATTCATAAATTGACTAAAAGACAAGCAACGATGAATGACATCGAAACTACAACAGAACCTGTTATTAAACCTAAGAAAATGCCTAAATCAACTGTGTCGGTGTTCGAAGAAGATTTATATAAGGACAAACAATTGAACAAAAATCTTGTACCGATAACACGTCTGTTAGACGGAAAAGAAATTTGTGTTATTAACGGTAATGATGAAATATCCAAAGAAGAAATAATAGAACAACTTTTACTGCATAGGGCAAAAGTTGTGCAAAATCCAACAAAAGAAACTTATTGCGTCATTGTTGGAAATGATAAAAAAGTATATAAATTATATTACAATTATAATATATATATGTTACTGTCAAAGCCGGAAATCAGGCATTACTAGTAAATCCTCGGCATTACTATGAATTTACGTTGTTTAAATAGTAATTTGATATTGTATAGAATATCAAAGTATTATGTTCAATACTTAGGAAAAACTGTAAGAATTCTTCTGTTTCCGACTTCTTTGGAAAGCTCTTTGCATTGATGAGAATGCCAAGGAATTACTAGCAATGACAGATTTCCGACTATGACGGTAACATATATATTACAGAGAAACGATTTACTGACTCTGTTTCATTTGATTTTAGGCAAAAGCAAGTAATGTAATAAAGACGAACAAATATGATGTGGTTACGTTAGATTGGTACAAACGTATTACCAAAGAAGAAAATTGGGGTGCACTGGAGAGTTTTTTACCATGGGATTTTCTTTCTATTCGTGACACGACAAAACAATTAATAATGGAAAAATATGACGAATATTATGATAGTTATACAATGGACGCCGACGAAGAAAGTTTACAACGTTCTTTAAAAAAAATGGAACCTATGGTAGATTAAATATATATAAAAATACATTTATATATTATTTGAAAAAATGAATACAGTTTGTATCTAATTAAATAATATTAATTTTAGATAAAGGAAGAAGAATTCACTTTTACCGAAGAACAAGAATTGTATAAAGAATTGGATAAAGAATTGTTTGACAATGGAATATCTCCGTTTTCTGTCTTCAAACAAATAATTGGATATTTTAAACAATGTTCCGATTCTACGAAGTTTAAATTTCGTTTTATGGGGGGTCTAATAAAAGAAGATATAAACGAACATATTAATTATATTTTCATCGAAGATAAATCATTAATTTCTCAAGTTAATGATATTATGAATGAATCAATGAAAGTAATTGATAGTAAATGGATAGATGAATGTTTTCAAGATCAAAAATTATATTCCATAGATAAATATATTATTAAATAATAATTTAATGGACATAAATGAGAAGTAAAATGAAATGAATTGGCCTAAAAATAATAAGAAGAAAAAGAATTTTTATCGAAAGTCTATCTGAAAACGGAAATAGCACGTGTGTTTATTTGAAACACCAAAGTTAAAGTAGACTACGGAATCATTTTAGCTTTAGTATTTTCACTAAGCGCCGAGAAACCGAATACTAGGTGGACTGACAGTTAGACAGTTTGCTCATTTAACATCTTCCCATTTCGAAATGGTTCTTCAGTTGAGCCTTTCCGTCTCTCCTTTTATTTTATTAGAATGTGCGTGCAAAATATGAGGCGTAAGGGTCGCAGCTGCAACGTTTCTCTTACAAAGGATGCCTTTCAGAAAGATTCTTAAACGAATTGAAACGAATAAAATTTCACAATGAAAAAGAACACAAATAACAAAAATATTTTAACGCGAGTCTAACCAAAACGCACGATGATTTCAACTTTATCCTTTACATATTTGTTATTGTATAATAATATAATTTTATGTTATATTAATTTAAATATATATATATTTGTATATATTGTTTATAAAAATAAAAAATAAAAAATAAAAAAATTGTGTACAATTCTAATTAAAATTAGAATGAATATACGTATGATTAAATAATTGTAATAGTCAATAAATGTGTTTCTATTATAATTACACGGCATCTTGAAAAATGAATCTGAAATTTATATGCGAATAGAAAACATGTTCATAAATATGTGAATGTGCATGTCTGTGCATGATACGTGTGTGGGTGTAGGACATCTCGTTAGCAGAAAGAAGACTATCTACGTATTACAGCAGAAAATAATGTACGGTTATGAGTGACGTTGTGTCCGCAACCGATCTACTTATAGACACTTCACCTAGAGACACGGGACGCATATTAATTGAGTTTCACATTTTCCGGGGCACACATCAGACTACTCGTATCTCTTTAAAGCATGTCCAATTTATTCATAGGATCTAGCAACTAACACACAACTCAGTCGGCCAGTTATTCAATTCATTCTCTTCTGTATTATTATTATTATTATCATCATTATTATTATTATTATTATTACTATTATTATCATCATCATCATCATCATCTTTTGGCGATCAATACATTGACGATTCATTTTTTCTATTTAATTAGAATCATTGCAAGCACATAATCGCGTTAATTCCTCTTTCATTTTATGTTTTGTTATACATTGATAATTTAATTGATTTTATTATACGTGTAAATCATTAATCAAAATCTTCAAGATTTAGTAATCTTCTTTGCATGATAGATAATATCCTTTGATAATATGTATTTATTATAACTATTATTATTATTATTATTATAATTATTTGTATAAGTTATTGTTGAAGATAATGGATTAAATCTTACAGACCTTTGGTATTCCATTTCTGATGATAGATTACAAGTACAACTACTTGTGCTAGATCGAAAGGTTGATAAATTTCGACATTTATAATTATTATCGTCAAAATATGATCGAGATGATTTATCTTGATCGTAAGAGGAAAGGCTCGTCGTTGAAGAGAATGAACTTCTTGATCGATTCGTTTCAGTATCCTCAAATTTATCTTCAATTATTAATTTTCTTTCCGTACCTTCATTAAAATGTTGACAACGACACAAATATCGATCGCTATAATCTTCCTTAATATTAATTTTACGAAAAAATGATGGCACAGAATAGTCGTTCCTTCTTCGAGAATCTCTATTGATCCTTTTTGAATGTTTTATCAGCATTAAATAGCCTCGATCATTGCTACGTGTTACCTTCATTTTTGATTCTGGATAAATCAATGATTCTGTACTTGTACTGGTTCTTAACTCGTTGTAAACGTATTTATTACTTTCACGATAAGAAGGATTATTCATTCTTACATTCAAATAATTTTTATTCCTAAAAATGTAAGAAGTTTTTACATTAATCATTATTAATTTGTTGTTAAAGCATTAATAGAATAACAAATGATAATTTGTTAGTTACCTAATATTTAATATTGGATTTTGTTTAAATTTGTTTCGAATTGAATCATAATTTCGAGAAATTTCAATTTCATTCTTTTCAATACTATGTCCCCCAAAATGTTCTTCCGAAAATGTATACTCGCAATTACACGCTGTCGGATGACAATCATCTTCTTCTCCTAATTCAAGCTCAGGAACGTATGGTAAATCATCATCATCATCGTTATTATTATTATTATTTGTAACATTATACGTTGCTGCAGTATTTGATTTATTTTCTTCTTTCAAACACGTCAAAGTTTCGACATCAATATTAGTCGTATGCTCGCAATTGCAATTTAACGTAGTTTCTTCATATTTTTTCGTTTCTTTATCCGTGTCATCATCTATTTCTTTATTTCTACATTCATTCCTTTTCAAACAACTTTCTTTTTCTTCGTTACCGCATACAAATTGAGTGTAAGCGTCTTGAACGAAACAATTTTTAGCATCGATGTAAGAACTCGATGTTGTTTCTTCTTGTATCAATTTTTCATTATTAACCGATTCCTTTCGATTATTTTGCGACTTTATAATGTCGCATACTTTTTGCATATTCCATAAATCAGTAACGACGTCCTCAGAAACGCGTAAGCACGTTTGTTTCTTGATTTTATTCGATTTACGTTTGATACATGTACCATTAATTAAATTATACCAACGACACTTGCAGGAATATATTTTATCATTTATTAAATCTGGAAACTGAATATAATTAAAAGAATAAATAATATAATTAAATTAATCTTTAATAATTATTATTAATAATAATAATTATATTACCTTCCCTTGTTTTTTACAACAGAAAGATTTACGTGCCCTCGTATTAACAGCTAGAACCACATTCGTTTGATTATATTAAAAACTTTAAATTAAATATTAAAATTTGTTGTAAACAGTAGTAGAATATTTTTGTTTCTTAAGGTAATAATAAACATTTGCACATTTACGCACGATAATACCATTGTTGTTCTTAACGAGACGTTTAGATGCGATCTTCATCGGACAAGATCTTTCTTTCCAAATACATTTCCCTCTATTTTTGTGCCCTAATGGAAGAACATAAAAAAAAGGAAGGAAAAAAAAAAAGGGAAATGAGGAAGAGTCGTTACGAAAGTGTGTTTTAGCGTAAACACATGATAAAAACGTGAATTACTAACATCCGTTCCTTACATGTGCAGCCATGCTTTTTAGCTTGCATTCTAAAAGAAAAAAAACAAAGAAAACAATAAATAATAACAATTAATTATCGATTAATTTGTGTTAATAAAACGTATTTAATATTAAACTTACGCTTCCTCGCATTCACATCTACCTGGTCGCCTGTTGAACATACATTTTTACTGAATATTATTTATTTTGTTTAAAAATTGTAATCATCGTTAAAGATGAATAAACAAAATAAGCTAGCCATACGACACGGATTACTTATTTATCTTTCTTTCTTTCTTTCTCTTTCGTATCTTATTTAAAAAATTAAAAAATAATATAGAAATCGTATTAGATAATAAAAGAAAATAAATTGTAGGAAATAGATACGCTCGCGTGTATGACTAGCAGTCTAACTCACTTTTCACTTTTTTTTCCTGTCAGAAGTTCTCTCATTTCTGGTTTACACGGATAAGTGGATTCTCTGATAAAAATATTATTTCATTTTTAATATCTTTTAAATTCTTATTGTATTATCTACTATAATCTTGAATACTCGTATAGGAATGTATTATTTACTTGTTTTTCAAAAAACTCATATATAATATCAGCATTCCTGTAAATCCAATAATAAATTTTCCAAGATACCAGGCAAAATTTGTTGTACAATGTGGCATTGCAAATATTCTTTTCAATTTTTCTCTCTCTCTCTCTCTCTTTCTCTTTTTATTTTTTTTTTAAATTATTGAATTTTTTCAGATGTTCTGATGATCTTTAATTTTTTCTTTAATTTCGTCTTTAAGAGAGACATGAAAAATATTTCTATCTAAAAATAAACATGAAAATTTGTTAGAATAAGTCAAATCGCAGATATGACATTAAACAAAATTAATGAAATAAATCAATACATTTAACAATGTGTTATATAGATAAAACTTCAATGTTTCTTTCTGAATGTAACAGGATTTGGTTACTTTTCATTTAAATATCTTGATCTTCTTTAAACATGTTCGTAATTCGTATAATTTGCATTGTTCGTTTTCTGCCAGTATTCGGAAACCTTGCGAGGGAAACAAGAAATTTTTGTATAACAAATAATTGATTATTACAATATTGATGAAAAAAAACAGACGGATATTTTTAAACGAACAAATGCGACATTTGTCGGTAATGCAAATGTCAAAAAGATATAAACAAGTATCAAATCTAACTCAGAGTCTTATTTGCATTCTCGTGTCCTTTGGGGCAGCCAATGAAACAAAATTTTGAGCCAAGAAAATTATATAGAAATCTATCAATCAATTGAAATGACAAATAAATTCATTAAAGACGATGTATATATATATATCATTCTGTATATTGCAAAATAAAAAGAAATGATTAAAATTCGTAAGACAGACAGAGAATGAAAATAAATGTTAAAATATGTAAACGTGTTATCCGATGATATGTGTTTTAGTCATGCATTCTCGTTTGGTCTCTCGTTGCGGTGATATGTAGAAAGATGTTAAATGACCTGTCAACATATTTGCCGTACTGACAACACACTCTCGGCCAAAGACTTCTCTGGTTCCGAAGAAGAGGGAGTACCGTAAGAAAAAGCGTTTGAACGACACCCCTTCGTTTCACGCTCATTAGACGAAATTCCTCGACGCATTTCACGCGTACTCTTTTAGATATATAGATATATATATATATATAAATTTAAACTCGCTTAAATAATACCCTCTCGTTCACGCTTAAATGAAATATTCTTTCAACTTTCAAAGAAGAAAAAAAAAAAAAAAGAGAAAAACAAAAAATATGGAATATATAAATCAAATTTAATTTAAAGAAAATGTTTCATTGATGTGTTACACAAGTAAAATAATATACCGATCAATTTGTAAGAATTTTTTGTAGAAGAAAGAAATAGATAAATGTATGCCATTGTTTAGAGTATTTTGAAGTTAAGTATATATAAATGCAACATTTTTTTTTTCTTTCTCTTTTGTATACATATTAAACGTCTATCGTATACCGCGAAAATAGAAAAGAGACTATCTCGTACGGTTCGTACTATAACTACAGGGTATATCCCACCAGCTGCAAACACATGGCATTCGTTCTGTGATCTCGTTCTAAGAGCTCGTTAATACGATCCTCCTCTCTCGTATGTTGCCAACACACAGTTAATATTAGTTTCGAGTATGTTTTCATAACGCATGAGTGGCACACACCGTGAACTTCCTCTCTCTCTCTCTCTATCTAACAATTTTCTTTAACTAATCTCTCTTCTATCTTATTTTATTTTACTTCCATTTCTATTTTGTTTTTCTTACTTTGAGTATCATTTACATAACATTTACTACATACTTCAACAGTTTCCTCTCTCTTTATACATTATCTCAATATAACTTAAAAAGAATTATTATAATTATTATAATTATAATATTAAATAATTAATTGTGTAAGAATATGTAATGATATTATTTGTCTCATATCTTTGCTTGAATTAATTCAAACGAATCATATACACCAAAAGGTTTCCATCAAACTTCTGTATATTAGAGAATGAATGGTGAGTAAGAAGCTTAAATAGGATGGATGGATAGATAGATAGATAGATAGATAGATAGATAGATAAATGTATGTTTTTCGTTCGACAGAGAGATAGATATGTTTATACTATAACAGAAAGCTATCAAGTTCTCTTCTTGTTCTTCTTCTTCTTGTTCTTCTGCTTCTTCTCTTCAAGTTAAAATGCTGCTACAACATATCGTTAACAAGAGAGGAAGAAGGAGTAGAAGAAAATAATAATAAAAAGGAATAAGAAGAGAACAAGAGATAAAAAGAGAAAAAGAGAGAGAGAGAAAGCTCTCTGGCTCATTGGTCTGTAGTCTAAGAAACTGGCGGAGTTTCATTGACTTTCAGACCAATCCGAAGATCTGAAATCTCTAAAAATACATTTAGAATTAGTAGGAGGAGATGAAGGAGCACCTCCTTCTCTCCTAAACGATCAGAAAGATCCTTCCAAGTATATTACTTATCGCATATCGCTACTGCGTACCAAGTTTAACGGATCCTATACACACATTATTTTAAGATAAATGTATTCTTATGTTGTACAATTAGAAAAATCTTGATTAGACATTTAAAAAAGAAAGAAACAAAAGAAAATATATATAAAATTATGTGATAATATTATCGATGAGAAAAGTGAATTATCAGAAGATTAATAAAATTGCATTAACACTTATCTAATATCTTTCATATTTAAAATATGTATAGATATAGATAATGTTTTTGCACTTTCTTACAATATTTTCTGATCTCATTTATATCTGAAGTTTATCACAGACTCTTATCTTATAAAATATAATTGATATATATATATATATTGACGAATATAAAAGAAATAAGAAAAGAAGAAGGAAAATAAAAATAATAATAAACAAAAGAAAAAGGAAGAAAGTAGTTCGTCATAATGAAAATAGAGAACAACAGTGCTACGAATCAATTAAATTCTGGATTAGACGTCCAACGTTTGAGAAGTCCAAAATGTGCGAGGTGTCGAAATCACGGTGTCATTTCTGGATTGAAAGGTCATAAAAGATCGTGTGCTTGGAAGGATTGCCGTTGTCCTTGTTGTTTATTGGTTGTTGAAAGGCAAAGGGTAATGGCAGCGCAGGTAGCTTTGCGTAGGCAACAACAAGCTCGTGACAATTGTTTCGTTGACAATAATTTCGTTCAATCGTCGCACAATCAAGTACCGGTAGATGTTAATAGTATTCCTAGATTTAACGTTGCCAACGATCTTGCAGCTGTTGCGAAAATGAATAATAATAATAAAAGGACATCTCAAAGAAATTTTCAACAGCATCAAATGCACTTCACTCGTACCAGCATCAGCGTCACCCAAGGATTCTGCGGACTCGGTAGTGGTAATCATAACACCATACCAGAAGTTTGTAAGTTCTCCCACCAATTGTTTCATTTTTCTCGTTGCATCCATATGCAAACCTGTAATTAAATATGCATTATTTATTTTAAATTTAATATTGATGATAATTAAAGTAACATACGTATTGTCTTCTTCTTCTTTCTTTTTTTTGTTTTCGTTTCTTTTTATAGTTCCTTCGGATAATCGTTTACTCCCATCTTTGCCGGCAGTTTCTCAAGGCCAAAAACAGGATCTCGAATCCACCGTAAGATTTCATTCATTTCGTACGTTGTATCCAACGATTCCATGGTTCAATCGTATCACAGAACCCAGAAGATTACAGGACAATATTGATGGTTTCATTTCAACTGTTAAAGACTTTAAAAGTAAAACTTGTGTAGATAAAAAAGCAGCTATTTCTTTTAGCGTTGAATCGATTATAGGTACAAAATAATATAATACAGTGAGGAACATATAATTTATTATAGGAAAGGAAAACAAAAATTTTTAATGAAAAATGTTACTTACTGATAAATTTAAGTTTTTAAAACGTTATTGTAATCTATTCGTTATTTATTATCTGATTAACTATCACCGATGATAGACGATGAAGTATATATATATATATATAAATATTATCTATATGTTATGTTATGTACATGTACATTTTTTTCTTTTTAAGAATCTTAATGATGTTAATGAAATGTCGAAATAAAAGGATATAACTTGTAACGAATTAATCAAGTATTTTGTATCACGATCAATTATCATGATTTATACGATTTAAACTTGAAAAATGGAAAAATCTTCGTAATCTATAAAATATTTATACATTCGTAATGTTAAGTGTTACATATATATATATGCATAGGTCTAGAATTCTATATATAAAATCTTTATTAAGATTCTATATATATATGTATATGTAAAATTCGTTTTTCTTGTGTTATAACATCACAATAAACTCCTTTAATACAGGAACAATTAACAATTGTATAATATATGTAGCAGACTTGTCCTTCCACAATATTGATTATACAATACTTCAGTGATTTTAATTATATCCCATCTTATAATTAATGTTTATATATCATTGAATATATGTAATAATAAATGATTACTTATATTGAACGATTACACTCAAAGTCTTTCTATAATGGGATATAATTATGTATTATTAATAAATAATTTATCGATATCGAGCATTTTACTGCATTTTTTCATGTACGTATCCATATCTGAAAAATCAGACAAAGCCTGATAAATGATTTTATTTAATATACTTGGCCATTCGTTTTCAAGTATTTGTAATTTTTCTATGGCATCAACAGTGAGATCAATTAAGTTCAATAAGTGCACTTTTCCTTTGTGCCTCCAAATTAGATCCTCCTATAAGATGTAAATATTTTGTTGTTGTCCTGAAAAATATAATTTTTACAAATACGATGAAATAAACATACTTGTGTTACGTTTCCCTTTCTCCATTGAAGAGCTTCTTTTCCAACGACACTTCTGAGAGCAGGATCGCTGTTAAATAGAAACTGTTTGGCAGTGATTTGTTCCCCATTTTGTCTTTGCACCTTTTCTAAATGTAATCTTTGCAATAATGGTTGCAGTAAAGAATCTGGCAGTGATTGTATTACGATATCTATCAATCCAGCATATTCCTCATTTGCATATTCAATTTCTTCTTCAGTAATCTGAGTGTATTTGTATATAAATTGTTTTTTAAATATATGTTAATTATTTAATTAATACAAAATATATGTTATTTGTATTTTAATATTATAATACCTCTTTGCCATTGATAGTATGAAGTCCCCAATGTGCTAAGCGAAATATAGCATAAGATCTCCAATTTTTGGATATTATTGGATTTCCTTCCGCTTCTATCCGAATACTTCCAAGACCTTGTGCTTCGGCTAATGCATTAATCTGTCCAAGATGACTGATATTAGTTTCTTTGAATAAAAAATGTTCTACGTTTGGAAAACGATTCTTCAATTTATTTAAAATCAAAGCTATGCTATTAAACTGAACATAGTTGAATTTAACAACATTAACATCTTCTGCTTTTAATGTATCCCACGAACGATCAATAAAACGTAATGCACCTTGGCCAAAAACATTTAAACAACGACCAATTATTTCAATTAAATAATCACTGCCTGTAATTAAATAAATATATAGGATATAAAATAGTTGTGATTAATTTTAATATTAATTATTTCCATTACCTTGTTCTCTCTCTCTTGGTAAAATTTGTTGCGGCCTTGGGCTTGTGGACACCGTGGCTCTATATTTTACTCTAGCAGTAGCTGCTCTGTTACTTTTATAATAAACTATTTTTTTTACATGCGCACTTTTTACTCTGTGCTTATCCTTTTCAAAATCATGATTCTTATGTGTTATATTTTTACTCAACGACGAAGTACTTGAATCGCTTAAAGTAGACTTACTACTATCAAGACTATTAATCTTAGAATTTATAGAATAATATTTAACGTGATTACTATTTGATTTAGCTTGGATTGTTTCACAATCGTTTGAAATATTTGCTTCGGATATTCCATCTTCGTGGTAAGATTTTGTAGACGAATCTTCTAACTTGATGTTAGATTCTACATTATCATCAATAAATTGTATAGTTGTTTTGTGATTCTTGTAAACCGATGGTTCAGCAACATGATTTGTCATACTTATTAATGTTTTAGATGTTGAAGATAAATCTCCATCTTTTCTAACATCAATTTTATTATGCCCAGAATATTTTTCAGAATCAACTGAGGATGTGCGCCTACTTGAGTGTATTAAATGACAGCGTAAACCACTTTTTAAACTTTCATGACTTTCTGAACTCTCGGTTTCACTATTGGCACTACTCGTAACATCATTTAATGTTCCTAAACTATTACCGAGTTTCAATAAATTTTCATTAAATTTATTATTCATTAAATTGTCTATTATAGAACTTAAAATAGGTGGAAGTTTAAATTCTAATGGATATGTTTTAGAAGTGTCTTCTAATTTATGTAAACTATCTGTAGAATTGCTTCTTTTATTTATTTGTATTTTCGTAGCTTCTACTTTTTCATTAATAGATGTTAAACTTCCAAATCCTTTTAATCTTGCTTTGCTTAAACTTTTTGGTCTAATAATATTAAGTTTGTTATGCATATTATTGTTATTATTAATTTTACAATTATTCATCTTATTGTCATTGGTAGTAGGCTTGCTTTTTGATCTCAAAAATTCCCAATTTGTTTTTGCATTAGAAATGATCTCTTCCCGTTGTACATTCATACATACTTGCGTACTAAGATCCAAGAAAGCTGAATTAACTTGTTCCTTAGCAGTTCTCCAAGCTATAGCAGTTCTACGAATTTGTTCGGTAATTTGCATTGATGATAATATTTGAAGATTAGGTAAGTAAGATACAAGGAAAGATATATAATCGCTGTTTAAAGTTATCGGATTTCCATCAATTGAAATTTCTTTGATATGAAACGCTTTGACTATGCTACCCATATCTTCTACTCTGAAACAATTAATTGTTAAAATAAATTAAATTAATGATAAATATATCAATGAGAATAATCGTTTTACTTACTTGTATATATCATTGTTACTTAAATACAATTTCTGCAGTTGTGGTATATCACCGAATCCCAAAAGCTTTTTTATTCTATTACGTCGAAGATTTAATTCCTTTAAAGACGTCAAGCCATGAAAATCGTTACATCCAACTATCTTAATAATATTCCCAGCTAAATTAAGAACTTTCAGAGACGAAAGACCATTTAAACCTGTTATTTGTTGTATCTGATTGCCATGCAAATCTAACACTTCGAGTTTGCAAAGTTGCATTAATCCCTCTATCTTTTTAATCCTATTTTTACCCATTAAAAATACTCTCAAGTTTTCTAAGCATTCCAAGCTGCAGATCTTTTCTATTTGATTATCGTACAAATCAAGAAATACTAATTTATTTAATTGTTCAAAATTGCATCCTTCAATCTTCGTTAAAAGATTATGTTGTAAAGATATCAATCGTAATTTTGATTCTCCGATTATATTTGGAAATACAGTCAAACCTCTTCTATCCAGGGATATTCTATCAGGATTTTTTTCTCTTTCTGCTGGTCCTCGTATTGCGCTGATTGTTTTTCCTTCTCCCATCCATTGCAACGTAACTGCATTAGAACTTTCTACTTCAGGTGATTCAAAGTTAAATGATGATCCTACGGTACTAAAAAATCCTACAGATATAGAATACTTCGTTGTCTTATATAATGAAACATTTGATATCAAAGTTTTTCGATTACCTTAAAGAATGATATGAACGTTTGGACAATTTAAGCGGTGTAAGTGTTCCAGGTAAAACCGGTAGTGCTGGTGCAATCGTTAAGAATTTACTCTCATCCTGAAATTCTGTTTGAATGGCTGATCTTCCTCTGATATTAAAATTAACAGTTTTTATCTAAGCAAAGAAAGTAATAATAATTTAAAAAAAAAAACAAGATATTTATTACTGTTTTAAAAAAAGTGTTTCTTTTTTTTTAAATTGATAATATTTTGTTCAAAATATATATAAATATATGCATACCTGTGCTTCTATCTTATTGCTTACTGGCATCACATAACCGAAACGTAAAAAGATTGTTTTAATAATAATTGATTAATTACACGAGTTTTTTTTTCTTTTTTTTTTTTACCTATCATTTAATTAATATCGACATATTTGTAATGTTACGCCACCGTGTTTTATGTTTGAAGTCAAGGACATTAGTTTCGTGTTTGGTATTGCGCGATAGAGCACCATTTGATTGTTACCTAAAATATGATTTGAATTTGAATTTTTATCCTGTTATTATATTTAAACAAACTATCTATATAAAACGAATAATGACTTTTAATTAGTATCAGAAGAACATATTTTTATTATTTCTTAATTATTTTTTATATTATTTTATAATAATCATACACTTATATGCTATAATATTCCTTCCAACTTCGATCGCACGCGCACTTTTGAAATTCGTATCTTTTTACTATATCTACTATGTAACTCAGTACAACAACTATTACAAATGGAAAAGATATTAATAATTAAATATAATTTATTCGTTAAATATTTTTATTATCGTAATATTTAAATTTTGCAATAAAATAATATATTTATTTTAACATTTTATATTTAAAAATAGTTTTTGCATATCCTCTCTGAAGTTGTGCGTTTATATGGAGCGTGAAATTATCTACTACTAGTAAATTTGTGTTTACATAGGTTAAAAAATTAATTAAATAATGAATACGTTGTGTCGAATATCTCCAAAAAATATTATTTCTACGTGTTATAAAATACAAGCAAATAATTATGCTGCACCAGGTACGAATGTTCTTTCTATTTTATATGCATGAATTAAAAACTATTACAAAGTTGTACATTTAATATAGGTTAAAATATAGGTTAAAAAATAGATAAAAATAATACCCTAGAGTATTGTTAAAACAAATAATAGTTTTAATTTAAATTATTTTCTAATATTATTATAATTGTTATTACACACATTATATATAATGTGTTATGACAAAAAGAAATTTTAAAAATTCTATAAATTTAAGTACTATGATAAACACAATAATAATATAAGATATTTTCTTTTTATTTCCTTTACTAGGATCAAAAATAACACTTGGAAAAGGTGTCAGTTCGAAAAAAGGTGTTTCTTCAAACAGGATGGTATTCCCTGTCGAAAAAGATACTAATAAATTAATAACTTATGTTTGCGGATCCAATTATTTTAAAGAGGGAGAAGATATTAAACTTAAACCTGATTCAGAATATCCAGATTGGCTTTGGACTCTTCCATTGACACCACCACGTCTGGAGGATATGGATCCAAATACAAAACAATATTGGCGTCGTTTAAGAAGGCTCGGTTTACAAAATAATAATTTAAAAAGAAAATTTAAATAATTGTCGATAGATTATGTATAAATAATAATTAAATAATATCTATGCAAGAGGAAACGTATATTAAATAAAATTTGTAAATAGAACTTTTATTAAGAACGAATAAAATAATTAATAAAAAAAAGAAAAGAAAACGGTTAATCGATATTAATGCATTTCCATACTCTATTTTAATTAAAGCTTATCTCATATTCTCAGAAATAAGACAAGCGTTAATTATATCTTAATATCTTGATTGGATATTTTTACAAATATCTTTGCGGGAGTTTTATAGGTGTTGTTAAAAAATACAAAAAAAAGAATTAATACTATCATTAATAATTAACAAAGAGTTACACCGGTATGTTTGCAATGAATAATGTATGTAAATATAGATTACAGAAAGAACTAGCTAGTTTTCCTGATTTATTACAACTATAGAAATAAAGTAAAAATAAAAAAATGTCTTTTGCAAATAAACTATATAAGAGAGCGTCTGTCCAATTAGCAATAAGCCGCATAAAATGTCTAATATCTCTATGATAATCATTGGGTATTGTTTGATATCAAGTAAAATAATAAAATTAGATTATGATAATGGTGACTTGTTAATCCATTTTCTTAGATTAAACAGATAAAAATTTAATTTTGATTTTGCATATATACAAGCTATGTCCGTTTATTCTAACAATATTCTAACAATCAAGAGTAACCGAGAGCATCGTTGCTTAGAAGACTATACCCGTTATAGTATCATCTATAAAATATAAACATTATACTCACAGGTATGATTTCATAATCTTTTCTTTTTGTTACATTATATTATGTTAGAACAAATAATTGTTCTTTGAATTATATTTGATTATAAATGGAACATAGAAGAATTCTTAATCAATTATTTCTAATCTATCTGTAATCAGACAAATAATCAACTACTTAATCAACAACAATCTTTTTTTAAGACTAAAGATTAAGAAAGAAAAAATTGGTATACAATAATTATCTATAGTTTAACGAATTATTATTTATTTTCCATCACTTTTATGGTAAATGATTTTTCTTGTTTTTTTTCGTGAAATTCTTATGTGTATTTATATGTATTGTATATATATAAAATCAAACGCTACAGATATACCAAAAATTGATCATATCTGTTGTGGAATCAAGTGTTTTCAAAATTATCAAAAATTAGATACATGGAAAGCCTTTTGCTTAATTACGATATTAATATATATATATATATAGATACATAATGTATGATAGTGAAAGATAGATACGATATCTATGTGAAAAACGAGCTCTAGTAATCACTGATTAAAGTCATTTTGATAGGAGTGTCAAAAATTTATAAGTGTATGCATGATAGTCTGTTTGTGTATGTGTTGTTGGCCTATTATCAGCTATAAATACGAAAATTTAATAAGATTTGTCATTCATTAGTCAAGATCTTTCGTAGCTCTTTGACAAGGTAAGACACTTGAGTATTTAAAAAAAAAAAATAAAAAAAGATTCTATCAATTATTATGTACATTTTAATTATATTTTCATCTAAAAATTATTCATATATATGTATTTAAAAATATTCTGTCATTTACTTTAGTATCGATTCTAACACCTGTCACCATACATTTTCTATTTTAATGACCTTGAGATAAGAGTATAGAGAGATTTCTGATAACTAACATAAAGATTCTCCCCATGAGTCATTTTCAGATTGAAACAGTTTATAAGTCGTTCGATGATATTACTATATCAGAAGAAAATCGATTAACTTCAAGCTTTGTTATATATTATCACTTTTTTATTATTTAATTATTATAAAAATCTTTTATAGAGCAGAACTTTTCCTTACAGATGAACACTTGGATCGTGTTCCTGGCAGCCTTTGCGGCTTTTGCTGCAACTGCGAGAGCAGATTGTAAGTCGATATATTTTTTTCTTATTTCTACTTATAGAAATATATTTCTTTTGACGTATGTGTTATTATTTTATAATTATATTTTTCATATTTTATTTATTCATTGAATTTTTCTTCTTTCTTAATAGACAAAATCGTCTGTTATTTTGGTAGCTGGTCGACTTATAGACCTGATGCAGGCAAATTCGAAGTAGAAAACATCGATCCAAATCTTTGTACTCACATAATTTACACATTTGTTGGAATAAGCGAAGAAGGAGAAGTTAAAGTATTAGATTCTTGGCAAGATCTTCCAAACGATTACGGAAAGAATGGTTTTGGTAGATTCAACAAACTCCGTAAAATCAATCCAAACGTTAAAACTATAATCGCCATCGGAGGATGGAACGAGGGTTCGACAAAATATTCTCGCGTTGTTGCAAATCCTGGTCTTCGTGCTAAGTTCGTTCAATCCGTTGTCAATTTCTTAAAAAAATATGATTTCGATGGATTCGATGTTGATTGGGAATATCCGAATCAACGTGGAGGCAAGGCTGATGACAAACAAAACTACGTTTCTCTTTTAAAAGAACTTAGAGAAGCATTTGACAAACATGGATACATTCTTAGCGCGGCTGTTGGTGCTGCTGAATCTTCTGCTTCTCAATCTTACATCATTCCTGAAATGTCCAAACATTTGCACTTAATCAATCTTATGGCTTACGACCTTCACGGTTCTTGGGAATCCACAACTGGAATCAATGCACCTCTTTATCCCCAAAAAGGCATAACTGGTAACAACGCTAAACTCACTACTGTAAGTTCATCATTACTTATTTGCATGTAATATTTACTTGCCCCCAGAAGAGAGATCAATATTATTCATTTTAGGATGCAGCAATACAATATTGGCTAGATCAAGGTGCCCCACCTGAAAAATTGATTGTCGGCGTACCTTTCTACGGTAGATCTTTTTCTCTTCAAAACGCTCAAAATAATAAGGTTGGAGCCCCAACCACTGGACCAGGAATGGCAGGAGAATACACTCGTGAACCTGGAATGTTGGGATACAATGAAATTTGCAAAAGAGTACAGAGTGGTAAATGGACTGTTGTTTACGACGAGGATCAACGCGTACCTTATGCATATAGCGATAATCAATGGGTTGGCTATGACAATCCTCAGTAAGTATATGATTACTTTAGATGTGTTCATGAAATTACTTCAAGAACTGAAAAAATTCATTATGTGTTATTTTCTAGATCTTTGAAGGAAAAAGCTGAATATATTAAAGCTAAGGGTCTTGGCGGTGCTATGTTGTGGAGCGTTGAAACTGACGACTTCCAGGGTGCATGTGGAGAAAAATATCCTCTTCTGAAAGTTTTGAACAATGTTTTGCTAAATGGTCCACCTTTAAAACCCACCTCACCTACTAAACCAACAGAATCTACTACACCAACCAAACCTACTAAACAAACTAAATCAACAGAATCTACTGCACCAACCAAACCTACTGAATCAACAACTGTCACCCCACCACACGATGGTATTTGCACCAAGGAAGGATTTGTTCCTGATCCTCATATCTGTTCTAAATTCTATCAGTGTATTCGTATCGATGGTCACTTCAAAGCCATTGAATTCAACTGTCCCGATGGTCTTGTTTTTAATCCAAAAATATTAGGCTGTGACTACCCAAGTTCAGTTATATGTCCATAGAACAAATAAAAATGATGCATTTTGTAGAACTAACTTTCTTACTTGACTGCAGTAAAACCTTTTTTCTTATATTAAAAATAAATAATATATACATATATATACAATCCATATCTTTTTCTCTTTACATTCTATAAATTAATAATATTAATAATAAAGATATTTAATAAGATATAATTTATATTGTCTTTTGATACAGTGAAAATAAATTTTATCATTTGTTCCAAATCTATTTAATAAAAGTAATACTAATACAAATAACAGCTTACGTGTACTGCGTTATATCCGGAAACTGATTAACATAATAATATTTCTCTTTCGATTCTATCAGTACTGTTTTATTCGATTTTATAGGGAGGACATTTATTAAGTTTAATGTTATTTCTACAGGTCTTACTGAGCCAAAGAAGTCAGTTATAGGAACTTTATCGGGATCTCGTTTAAATAAATCTTTTCTTACACCGACTGTGGATAAACAGTAATGTTTTGGACACACTTTGAGCTGTAATAAAAATATATATTTAATTAATATTGAAATGATTAAATTAAAATTTAATTTATACGATAGAATACTAACGAATTCTGCTAATGTTCTACTACTGGTGGGTTCAACTTTTTCTAAGAAGTCGAGTGCATAGTATGTAAACCGATCTATAACATATACACCTATTGCAGGATCCACGTGATGCTAACAAAGTATACAAAAAAAGTAATTAGTTAACTCAAAATATGTAGAACAATTTTGGATATCGAAAAACTTACGGATAATGAATCTTCTCCAACTAAACTAGAAGTAATTGCTAAAATATTAGGAGAATAAAACTTTTCGTACATCGAACTAGCTTGGCATGTATCTACAATAAATAATATCTCGTGATATCTTCGCTTTTGCCACATTTGTTCTAGAGCATCCCCGAGTTCTCGACTAGTTATTTCTTCGGAATCTTGAAACTTAAGAAATCCATTGCCTCCGTGACCAGTTAAATAAATTAATATATTAGACCGTTCATCTGTTAATAATTTTTTAGATCTTGGAGTCTCAGGTGCCAATCGACCAGTTAATAATCTTACAAAATTTTCTACGGTTACTTCGTAACCCCTGTAATCAACCTCAACATCATCACCGTAAACATTGATGTGTTGTTTGACGTTGTTAAAAACTGTGGCAGGTCTAGGATTTCTAGGATTACATGCCATGTCATCGGCAATCATTAGAATTATTTGTGAGTCAGGTATTCCTAAACGTTTAACACTTCTGTATATGGATAACACATTTGCAACATGTCTATAGTTAAACCAAAATCTAGAAGTATCAACTAACACTGCCCAATTATTTGAGTGTCCTGTTTCTTTAGTATTATTGTATTTCTACAAATTCATTAATTATTCATTAAAAAAGAGCACAATTAATAACACACACACAAATGATAATCAAAACTTACTAACCTTTAAAGAATGACATGAAATTGTTAACACAGACAAGATAATTATTATCAATGTATAAATCGATTGCATTTTGTATGCTTTTTTTACACAGTAATGATATATCAAATTCTATTTCACATACTTTTTTAAATAACGTTAGAATATTACAAAAATCACACTCAAGAAACAAGGAGAATATAACCTTTTAAAAATGAAGCGACACTAGCGCCAACTACACTGTTATACATTAACTAAAATGACGTTTACATGTATGTATCGTGTTACTGTATGAGTGTATACATATGCTGTTATATACACATATACATATTTTAAAATATAAATAGAGAAAAATTGTTGAATTAATTAAAAAATAAATTGAATAAATCTTTCTCTATTGATATATCTATAATTTGATCGAACTTTCAAATGTTTCATATATATCACGGATTTTTATTGATTATTATTCTATAGGATTGTGATCATTAAAAATCTTTTATTTATTCTGAAAATTCTCCCTGTTCCTTGCAATTACAAAACACATGTTTCCTTCTAAAAATGTAATCCGTAAGATCTTATGGAAAGATCGTATCCTTATACGAGGTAATAACTTTTCAATGTGACATTTCAATTTCACTCGGAATAATATCGCTTCCTCGTAAAAATGTGTACATAATGCATAGTAAGTATATGCTTACTTAACTATGCATAGGATATATGCGTGTGTATATATATTTATATATATATATACATAATTTTGTGTGTAATAAATAGCTGTGTATTATCACAGCTTACAATACATAATATAATAATATTAAAATAGACGAAAAACGCAATGCCATTCGTAATAAACAATATGGCAATGATTGTTAAATTTAAAACAAAATCCGTCTTTTCGTAACAATAATGGCTGTACTAAATGTCTGCACACAATATAAAACAAAAATTAATATCATTAAAAAAAAAAAAAGAACACACAATAGTAATAATAAAGTAAACTTATGAAAAAATAAAGAAAAACAAAAGAAATACAAAATAGAAAAGAACGATCATTTAAAAATGTGAAAAAGTCTATACCGAATGGTAGTAGTAGTAAGTAGGAGAGTAATTTAAATGCATATCATATATAAATGTTGGTATAACAAGCTTATAAATTTGACGTATTATACGTATACATAAGATACGATTCGCGCAACTGTAGTTTTATTTTAATTAATTAATGAATATATAAATTCGCGAACGCAAGCGCGAAATATCGTAAAAAATGCTTTTCGCGCGCTATAATTTGAGAGACACAGATAGCGCCACTGGACCGCGGGAAAATTCAAAAAGAGAAGACCGCGAAGAATACGAATCTTCCAAACGAATTGTTCGCAGTGTTCTATTTTATTTTTCTAATTAATCAAAGATTAATTTCACATTTCGTGATCGATCACAGTATTTCTTTTGGTTTTTTTTCTTTTTCTTTTTTAAATAATGATAATCGATAAATCAAGAGTTTTCGAATATAAATCAAATAATTTTCGAATATGAGTGACAAATTTCTTAAGAAATAAAAAAATATGTATATCGTAAATACGTTCCGCGTGTTTTTTACAGCTGCAGAATCAAGACATACATATTCATACGTTTCTTTTATATATCAAACATAGTTACATGTATATGTTAATCATCGTATATGTACGGTTTTTTCTTCATTTTTTCTTTGTTTCTTTTATCTTTTTCTTACGGCAATACGAACAATAAATCGATGAATTTGTATGGAATGTAATAAATGGTTATGCCATGCAATTATTATACTTGTTATGTTAAATCAAATCGAAGAATACAGAATGAGATAAAACATAAATATTATCAAATTCGCGAACGAATAATCGATGATACTTTTTTAAAATTAAATAAAATTAATATCTGTTTATGTCTGTATAAATGAGAATAAAGTAATGATTGTTTTTACAAGTTTACAATTACAATAAAAACAATCTAAATTGTCTAACTATTAAATTTTGATTGTGAATCTCACACTCGATCCGTAATATTTTAATCAAATGTTTTTTTCCGAATCAATCCGATTATTATTTTAAATATCAACGAGTGTTCTGTTAAATATGATTAACGACATTGTACTAATTATCACGCATACACACACACACACACACACCAATTTAAATTTGAAATAATCGCCATTCGAAATTATTCGCACAAGTATCTTCGTATACACTAAATATATATTCAAATGATTATTAATTAATAATATTAATAATTCTACATATTATATTATATACCTTATAATCGCACACGAATTAGATCCTCTTTCGTTAATGTAAAAAATGAATCCTGTAATCTCTCTTTCTCTCTCTCTTTAACAATAAAATGCGAACAACAGCGATTATTTAATTTAGAGAGAGCGTTTATCCTCACCGTTCGACGTTTAGATCCGTTATGACATATCAATATGACTCAGGCTTATTTTTATTTTTATACTCGACGCTTATTTATAATTATTACAAAACACGATAACGAGAACGATGTCGTCAAACAAAAACATTGTCTTTTAAATTTTTTTTTCTTATTAAATGTTAAATATTATATAATATATAAGAATTGTGATCATTTAATAAACAAGAAGATCTAAACGTCGCGTTATTACACGATTTTATATTCGATTAATTTTTTTTTTTTTTACAAACACACGATGGGATTTTTAACGCGCGTTCTAGTTTAATTAACTATGAATAAGTTTTTTTCGTAATTTTTTTTTTTCTTCTTTCTTTCTATTTTTTTTGTGTTTTTTTTTTGTTTTGTTTTGTTTTGATTGAAGCACCATAAATATCGTTTCAATAATATTCCCCGTTAATCTCTCTCTCCCTCTCTCTCTCTCTCTCTCTCTCTCTCTTCTTCGTATATTTCTTCTCTTTTTATTTTCTTCGTTCTTTCATCTTTTTTTTTTTTTTTTTTTAATTTCTTTTTTATACTTTTTGATAATTCCTCGTTGATTATTATTATCTTAAACGCATAGAACGTCGTCAATTAAATCGAGGAGGAAGAAAATATTGTGCTCAAGTTGCAATTGTTTAATTAATTAATTAATTAATTAAATAATTAAATTAAATTAAATTAAATTAAATTGATGAATTTTCCTTCACGAATATCAGATGTTCTACACGCTCGAATAAAAGCGAGATATAGATGTGTACACGTATGTATGTGTATATAAGCACTCTATTAAATACTATTAAGATATATATTATCATTATTATAATAATATAATATTGACGTATATATATATATATAATAATTATAATAATATTTTATTAAAAATACGATTCGATTATAATTTTTATTATGCGCCGCGGACCGGAGCGTGCGAGCTCCCGATTCGTTCGTTTATATTAATTAATTAATTAATTAATTAATTAATACATGCACACACACATACACACAGCAGTAACGGGGGTGGTTAGGGTTGATGTTGGAATTTGGGCTATTAAAAAACAAGAGATAGAAAAATATACGTACGTGTAAATATACGTTCTATTATTATTATTATTATTATTATTTCTTTTTTTTGTTTGTTTCTTCTTTTCATTGAATTTTATTTCCCTCTCTCTCTTACATTTTTCTTTAATGCACAAATTTTCTTTGTCTATTTTATTGTTGAGTGGTTATTGTTGGGGAATGAAATTGTCAAAAAGTTTATTTTTTTTTCCTTCCTTTTTTTTCTGTTTTTTTTTTTTTCCTTTTTACAAAATGTACACAACACACGGCGTGCAAAGGCTACTACGCGATTTTTTTTTTTATTGAGAATGAATTAAAAATTCCTTATCTATTTTATTTTATTTTATATTTTACTTTTTTTTAAGTTTATCGAAAAATATTATTTTTAAAGTCAGAAATCTCGATTGAATTTCTTCTTCTTTCATATCTCTTTACTTTACTTTTCTTTCCTTTCTTTTCTTTTCTTTTTTTTTTCTTTTTTTCTATTTTATTTTTCTTTCCCCTTTTTTTTACCCTGGGTCTCTACTTAAATTTTCTAAGAATAAAATAGATACTTTTGTTTATTTTTTTTCCTTTTTTTTCTTTTCTATTTCAAGTTTTTTTTCTTTTTTTTTTTTGTATACAATATATTTTTTGTGTAAACTGCTGGGCGGGGTGGGGTGGGGTGGGGGGTAAAAGAACAGGAGAAGAAGAAGGAAAAGTATAAGATGATAAAAAGATGATATATCGTTTGCTTGAAACAGTCCTCCTCCACCTCCTCTCGAATATTATTATTATAAATAATGTCTTTGTTAAGCTGTTTTTGTTTTTTTTTTTTTTTATGTTTAAACGATGCGACAATGTATTATTATTTTTATTTTTTTTTTTGTTATTCTCTATTCTTATACTAAACCACACAACAATTCTCGTATGTGAAATTTTCACCGGATATATATATATTATTTTATTTTATTATCTTTCATTTATATATTTTGTAGTTTTTTTTTTTTCTTTTTTTGTTTTTTTTTTTTTTCTATTAGCAATTTTAGAATGTACGTTTCGTTAAAATGTTTTTTTCTTTTTTCAAAAGTGCAATTGAATTTTTGCGATTAAACGAAACCAAATGTTAGAGTACAGTTCGATAAAAAAAAAATAAAAAAAGAAAAAAAGAAAACAAGAAAAAACTGTTTAATAGATTTTAATAGAGAAATGATTTCTTTTTTTTTTTTTCGTGTTATTTTTTTCCCCCCATACCAAGTTATTCTATTTAATTCTATCGTGTGTCTATTGTCTCTCGCAAGAAAATAAATTTTTACAAACGACGTTTTGCACATTACAAACACGTCCGATGTTTATTCTAGGCAATGCATTTTTTTTTCTTTTTCTTTTTCTTTTCTTTCTTTTATTTTTTAATCTATTTTCGAGTAGTCTAACTAAAGGGTTAGGGGATGATGGGTGGTGGGTGGTGTTTGCAGTCCGCGGGCACAATAGTTCAACTATTTCTTACTTTTTTTTTTTTCTTTTTTTTACGTAAATATGCATCTACGTCGTATATTTATATGAAACAGAAAGAAGAAAAAACAATAATAAGAACTCGCGTTAATTAAATTTTTGTACGTATGAATTAATAATTAAAATTATTGAATTAATTACAATTTAATTTCATATATCGACGCATATAGATATTTACCATAATCGAAAAATGATTTCATGTTTGTCCTGTTCCTATTTACATATACATATACATATATATATATATGTGTGCAATAATGTATTTATGCAATAACGTATGCATGTGATTGATTACGTTTGGCTCGAATACTATCCCTGATATTTTCTTGTTTTTTTTTTTCCATTATCCTTTTCAAACAATTCTTTCATTAAATTTTGTTACACAATAAAAATAATTAATCGATTATGATACGTAAATAATACGTGTGATTTGTATAAAAAGAAAAAAAAAAAAACAATAAATCGAGTTTAACCAACGTACGTAATATAACAATTAATAATAATAATAATAATCATTTGTCCGGCAACATTTTTCGTTTGATCTCGTTTATTTTCCATCGTTTGTTTGTTTGTTTGTTTGTTTTCTTTTTCTTCTTTTCTTTTAATATGATTTTCGTATATATAATTAATTAATAATAAATGCTTCAAATATTTTTAATAATATTAATTATATAAAATGGGATCATCACATACTTTTACACTGAACGCACTTTGTTTTACAATAATAATCATTTTTTATTTTTCATCATCATGCACACAAAATT